AGAAAATGAATGGACCTGGTGACTAGATCATTTTAATTGCTCACAGTGTGGACATTAGGTCATTGGCAGCACACTGCTGTGTCAGTGTAGTTTAGGCGAGTATGGATTGCAGTAGTTTTGAGAAAGAATGCAGACGGGGATGATGGTGAGGATGCTTTTTTCTCTCATACCCATTTTATTCTTCACATTTCTACATCAGTTTTAAAACAGTTAAAACTGGTAAAGATATATCAGATGGATATCAGCAGAGCTATCCCACTGAGGTGTAATAAATTCAGAAAAGTATTTAGTTCTCACATCATTAGGTTTTTGATTATACAGTAAAAGTGTGGTTGAAGGCAATTATGTTGCTGGAGCATCTGCAGCATTTAAAACTAAACACTACTTTTATGTGCCTTAAAGCATGTAGTCATTGCCTAGATTGCACATAAATTACGTAATGCATTTTACGCAGACACATCCCCTCAAAAATGTTGCTGCTGTGACTGCAGCACACAGCTGTATCAAATGACCAGTGTGACGGTTTTAGTTGGTAAAACCAAGCCACATGTGTTTGTAAAGACTTTGCATCCTTCCCAAAATATATTAGATGAATGAAAGCATTGCGTAAACAAAATGATAAACCTGGAAAAAATTTAAAATCTTAATAATTTCTCTTTAACATTAAATATTCCTGGCTAAGTGAGAAAATATCAAAGTTACATTGTGAAACAAGCTGTGCTAGAGGCTCTGTGAGGTTTATCTATGGTGCTTTGAGCTAACGTCAGCATGCTTACAACAACAACAACATTATGATATTTAGTATGTTTAATGTTACCTTCTTAGTTTAATGTGTTAGCATACTAAGTTTGTAATTGGCACTAAGCACACTGCACACAGCTAAGCCTCATAGGAATGTCACTGTTTTAGTATTTAGTCATAAACCAAAGTATTGGACAAACTGAAACATTGACCTGATGATGGTGCTCAGTGTGAAGTGAACCCATTTAGTGAAAAAAAAAGTCACATCAATCTATTCAATAGTTGTGACGTTTCACTTAAAACCACAAATGTCAACCTAATGGTGTTGATAGAGGAAAAGTCATTATGCTTCATCTTCTGGGAACCATGAATGTCTCTACAAAGTTTTCCAGTAATCCGTCTTCCAGTTGTGGTGAGGTTTCACTCTGGGTTTGAATACTGTTTAATCTTGAATGGTGAATGGAAGTATATGTGACATCACCTTTTTTCCAACTACAAACAAGCAAGCAAAAAAGTGCAGACAAAAAACAAAAAACACAGAAAACACTAATGTGGAATAACTAAAATGATGTTAATCTGGGAACCCATCACTCTGTGTGAAAAGCTCATCAAGAAAATAGGTTTTCAGAGCCATTGAAATCGCTATGTTTACCCTTACCTCCTCTGTCTCAAGGTTGATGGCAGAAATATTAGACAATTGTTGTATGTATATTTATGGTACTGCACAAGTTATTGATTGGCATAGTTACATCAATACATGGTCTTTGTCAGACAACACTGCCGCATGCATGGATTCCGCATACTGGTGAGTGACTCACATACGCACCCATTATTCTACCTATATATCTCTCTATATATCCTGCGTTTGATATTAGTCACATAGAGAGGAGGAAAGAGAATGAAAAAGGAAGAAAGCTTAGTGAGAACCTTAGAGATTCATGTGTGAAGAGAAACTATTTGTCTGCAAAGGTATAATACAAACTACAATGAGGGTACTAAAAAAAGACATGTCATGTAAACACTAAATAACCAAATATTAAAATATTCAAGTTTGAAAATCAAATAGGAAAACAGCAATAATAATTTTTAAAAATCTCAGACAGATACAGATTAATTGGAATAACAACGACATTTAGGCAAGGAATACTTTATTCAAGATTCAAAACAACAAACAAAAGCCATGTTGTGCTGTTGACAACAGAAAGACAAAGATATGTCAAAAAGCTGCATGAGCATATAAAATGCTGCCAAAACAACAAGATAGAGACTCTACACTCACTCTAAACTCACACTAGCGTCAGCATCAAACAACAGCATTCAGTGCAACAAGCTGTGATGTTAATCCATTAGGCTGCGTCAAAAGGAAAAATATGGTGCACACATAACAGGAAAATTTGTTAGCACATTGGACAAAATGTATTAAATTTGAAAAGTGACAATGGAAAGGTGCAACAACAACGAACAATTTAAACTCATTGTTTAATTTTCACGTGTAATTGCAGGTGGCATTAAAACACTTCTTATCTTATCTTATCACCATGATAAAGGCACAAGAGTTCTCAATTTGAAACTAAGCATTTTTTTAAAAGGATAAAAAGATAGATTACAAAGTCAAATGCAATAACAGATCATTACCAGTCAAGTCAGACCTGCAACAGTAAAGCCTGCGGCAGCTTGTCTTCTCCTGGCCACTGACTGGTACAGTGGGGATCCACAGTCTGCTCTCTCACCTGGTTGCCTGCTGCTGCGCTGCGGCTCAGGTGTTCTAACTGGAAAATTGCAAGTGACTTGTTTTGCATAAGTGGTCTTGATAAATTAGCTGCTAAAGCGTAGATAGCTGCTCTTGTTAAGTTTTTGGGCATGATGGGACTTACTGTGCCTGTAAGCCTCTTCCAGCAAGGGCTTATTAAAAAAAGACAATGAGCTCTGCATTTTTCTGCATTACAAACAGACTACTTCCTACCACCACAAGGAAGAAATTTAATATTTAAAAGACAACCACTAAACATGCATAGGATCGTCCACTTTGATTTTTCTGTGCTTTGCTACATTGTTAACTAGACCGCTACATGAATCAGTGAATGAAGGTTACCACAATAGAAACATGTCCTAAAGCTTTAACTTTTAGTTATACCTTTGAAACATGCTTTATTAAAAAACAAAGTTTACAGTTTTACATGTTGGTCCATCGCTAACAGTTTTAAATTACACCTGCGCTCTTCTTGCTATGACAAGTGAAAATGTCTGCTGTGAAAAAGGTCTACTTGTTGTGGATGATTGGCTCATTGGTACCCCTATACTGAATAATTTCCTTTTCTGTCTTCTTCCAAAACACACTGACAATCAGATAACTTGGCATCTAATTGGCACCTTAACCCCTTGAGTCATGGGACTTTGTAAAAGTTTTAACAAATACTGCTGTCTTCTTCTAAAGCAGGTTACCCGTGGACTGCTGCAGATTTGTCCACAGCTCCAGAGTATCCACAGAGTCGTAGAGCAATGGCAACTTCTCCTACTGGATGAGAGCATGACTCGCGCAAGTAGGCTACAGTATTTTTACATGAATTATTATGGACACAGCAAAGAGGAGATGGCACTTGCTGAATTTTAACTTGTTGATATTCTTCTCACGTCCGATTAGGCTTTAAAATGATCCTTGTAAAAATAAAGACAACTTGCAAAACTTCTAAAACCACAATAATAATTGGACAAGCACTCTCTTCGTATGTTCTCCATTTTCATCCACGCAACAGCATAGATGAAATTCTGACTACACAGGAAAACACTTACCAGCATGTGAGCAAATTAAATGAGAATCCAAACTTGACACACTGTCGTTCTATGCTTGTGCACTGTTGGACATTATAAAATAGGCTATAGAATTGGCTCTCTGATGAAAGGCAAAATACATTTAAGAAACCCATCACTGATGCTGTCTGTGACAACTGAGAAGATATTTCTTCCTTAATATTATTTTGTCTCTCCTGTCATGTATGAATAAAGCCATTATGGAACATTTACATAATGAACACCAATATGTGTGCCAGCAAAATGATGAATTCCATTTCTGAAAAGGGCTTTATGGTAGATAACTAAACTATTGGCCTCTTGATGCAACATTTGACTTGACACAATACAAAAAGCATGGGCGTAACCAATAGCTTTGATGATGGCTCTGTTCCATTTAGCTGCAACACTGAGCCAGAATGCACAACACAAGTGAACTGGCACACCTAAATGGGATACAGCCAGGTTGCACCTGTGTTTGTCAAATCAACATATTATCTGTGACAAGCTCTCACAGTGCTTAATATTAAACATTACTCCTGCTTAATGTTCTGGAGCTGTGTGCCCACTATTATTACCTCACAAACAAAACAAAAGCCAGTCTGCCTGATGGAACTCAAGTGAAGCCCTGACTAGGCAGGGGTGAGTGCTCTGTCTTTATACGATATTTCCCTCTGATGAGGAGGAGGCGGGTAAGCCACTCACGTGATTCATTTGTGCGTGTGATGCCCGGTCAAGTTCACCAGACCTAATATGGACAAGACCGGACGTTAGCCGGTCTTGCCTTTAAAATAAAAGCATACCAACTTTATCATTTACAAGTGGGTTACTAGCCGGAAACTTATACTAAAATGAATTCCATGGCGTGTAAAGCAAGCTTAAGGCAATTCAGCTGAGGCTTAAAATAAACTTGTATAGAAATGACTTTCAGGTCATTCTGAATTAGTTTTACGCGTCTTTCCATAACGTGGATGTATAGACTGTATAAAAGAAGCGTGGATGTTATTATTGACCACAAATTAGGGATTGTAAACATACAGTTAGTATTTTTGCTTACATTTCTATGAAACACTTGCATTAATATTTTCATTGCTTGATTATATTTCTCTCTAAAATAAGCTGTTTGTTCATCATTAATGGAAAAATGCATGTAAACTTAATTTTTGACCAGGTCTAAACAGCAATAATAATAATAATAATAATAATAATAATAATAATCATTAATTATGATCATTTTGATAGTGACATAATTGTCTGTATTATACATAGGCCTATGCATTAAAAATACTATGCCATTGCCTCACCATGTAGCTTCTGAAAATAAGATTAATTTTCATTTGAATTACACAAAATAAAATATAATAAAACTGAAAATGCTGCTAATTAGGCCTATCTCATTTTATTTTGTAAGATTTCACCGGATATGGGCTTTTCTAATATAGCTGACTTGTCGGGCGCGAGCTGCGGATCTGTGCATTTTAAGGTGAACACGTTTAGTTTGGAGCGGAGTTAAACACCGGACCGAGACAGCTGCGTTAAAGACAGCATCTCCAGTGAGCTCCGTCTCCTGCAGAAACACATCAGACAGGTGCTGTTAAATCAGATAGGCTAGTTTGGATTAAGACACATAAACGCAGAGTTCGTCGGACTTGGCTGTGTTTCAGACTCCGGTAAGCGGCACCGACGATGCTCCGCTCGGCTTTCTGGCTTAACACCACAAAGTAAAACGGATTAAGAAAGTAGCAGGAGTTTTCTGGATGTCTGTGTTCTTCTGGTGTTCGCACGGTGGTTCCCAGCTGTGACTGTGGCAACACGCTGCGGTAGGTGAACTACTGGAAACCTGAGGGAAAAGCGTTTTTTTTTTTGTTTTCTTCTTGCAGCCAACCCGGACCTTTCTGGCTTGTTTAAGGTCGCAATATCACCGTTTCCAGCTCAGAATGTATTTCCACCTTCTTCTCTCGGATGTGGATTTCAAATGAAACCCGTGAAGTCCGCTGAACCAGAGCGGTGCCGATCCGTCGGATGCCATTTCGCCCTTCTCTCCAGGTTTTGCGCAAGGACTTTTTGAATTCTTAATTGGAGAATGACCAATCGCACAGATAAATTCTACCGGTCTTTCTCTTCTGCTTGTTATTTAGACTAGTCTGGCAATTTTTTTGTTTAGGCACGCAGGGTTCCTGTGTTTTAAGCCAGGGCGCGCGTCATCTCTCCACTGGCTTCCATTGATTTATGATTTTTGGGGGCATTTATCGGGTTTCGCGCAAGAACTTTGGCCCGCGTCAGGAACACTGGGTCCTCTCTCTTTCCCCTGTTGCCCAATTTGGAGCAGGATACTTGTAACTTTCTTCTCCCATGTGGGGAAAAACGCTCTCTTTTGCCTGGTGAAGACGCGGTTTGGCCGTGCCTTAGGTTTGCTGCAAGCAAAGACGCTGTGAAGACTGTAGCTGGACAATAACATTTTTGAAGACCCCGACTGAGACATCACACACACTGTCGCACACATACGTTCAAATACTTGTGCAGATACATATTGCGCATTGTCCAACTCGAGACCCTCTGAAGAACTGCAACAGCATCGTGTGGAGGCTAAACCCTGCAGAGAGGTTTATTTATCCACCATAGGCTTCTGGAACAACTGGGACTTAACATCCGCCTTCTGGGATTTCTACCATGTCAGGTGTACGGGATTGCAGATGGACTCTCCTCATCTGTGTGGCGGCGCTTTCATATGGTGAGTAAGTCCCCCTCCCCTCTAAAACTGTCTCACCCCTTCCCTCCCCCCCACCTTCAGCGGGCTTTCAGGATCATAATGATGTTGCATAGAAAAGTGATGGTGGCAAATTTGTGCAACATGCAACTGCAGAGGTAGCTGCCCTTCTGATTGGTCATTTTGGGAGATGGACTCACACACACCAAATCCTGTTACACATTTTAGAAGAGCCTCTATAAATGTTTTAGCAAAGGTGCTACATAGACTGACGTCTGCACATCAAAGTGTACAAAATCCAAATCAAACATCCCAAAGATGATTTCCTGACATGTCCCCATGATCTAGTCGGACTCCAAAACACTAATCCTCCTTTAATATCAAAGTCCTTTTTTATTGATGCAGCAACACAGCACTGTTTCCAGCAGTAAGAGTATGACATTGCAATGCATGGATTGAGTGCACCGCTGAGAGGCAAACTGAGCAGAAGCACCTTACAGTATAGTACAGTATGGAGCCCTATTTAAAGGCGCTCAAGTAGGATTGAATCTAGCACAGAAATAATCTGCACTGTGGCAGAGTGCAATTCCTTCCGTGTTTACTACATCCTTTCAGGCATTCTGCACAATATCTCCCCTCTCCTACCCATTTTCACTAAGTCTTGCCTCAATTTCATTACCACACAAAAGAAACGGCTATATGGGCACTAAAGAATATACCCTCCTTGATGGCTTCACAAAAGCTGCGAAGCAAGTATGCTGCATTACTCTGCCTACACAAATCCCGCCAACGCTTGTGGTCAGCGTTGCTTAGCGCAGGGATACCTACCTTCCTGGACAATGAAGGCGCTGCTGTCAAAAGTAATTGCAGTAACAGATTTGGCGCATGGCCGGCTGCCTCCGAGGATGATTTCAGAGGCTTTTGGCCTCAGAGACCTCAAGTGCCTCCCCCTCTATACACAGAAGCCCTGCTGCACTCTAGCAGTTTATACCACTCTCTCCTTGTCACACTCATATGCTAAGTAAACAATTTGTAAGAATACCTCATGAGAAATGCTGTAGACTTGCTGGATGAACAGCTAAGCAGACAAATCCCCAGGTGTGAAAAAGCAATATCATGGACTTTAAGACTGCTCTGGGGAAAATACAGTACTGTAATGAATCTATTATTCTTCATTTTTCTCACCTCAAATTGTGTCTCTAACAGAACGCCATAAACAAGTTAACGATTCAGTTTTCTGCAGTCGATTAAAATCCTCACTGGGATTTGTTATCAAGATGCCATTGTGATCAGTCACACTACATAAGCTGTAGCAAATACATCAGTTTAGATGTGATGCTTCACTGATGTCCAAAGGGAACTCCACCTTTTTTGTTTTTATTTTTTATTTATTTCCCCCTCAACCATTCTCTTCCACATGAAGCTCAGGGTTCAGGTGCAGAGCGGCACTCCTGGAGCTGATATGCTCAAGGACACCTAACCTAGGCATGTCTGCTGATAAGAGCGTTTGTAGCCAAGTTTTCTGGTTGCTTTTTGTACTAAAATATCCCTGTTTTCCCACAGGTGGAAAAAAATGACATAAAAAAAAAAAAAAAAGATTGAATTTAGAATTTGGTTTAGTTTTTCAATACTTTTTTCTTCCTTTTTGTACAAAACCTTTTTTTTTTCATTTAACAAAAGAAGCCCAACTTGTTAAATGTTGTCTAAACGCAAGCAGACGTACATCTGTAAAAACTGCAAACATTACATTTCAATCAGGAACTTTTCAGTTAAAGAAAGGTAAACAAGATTAGGATTATACTTTTGATGCCAGCTTTTGGTACTTAACAGTTAACCACACTCGGTGCTTACAGACACACACTGGTTAATGCCTAAAAAGTATTGAGGTTTGTTACCGAGTCCTAGTCCAACCAATATAATATTATATTATCTATAATACTGTATCTCCACATGCTTACGAGAAACTTGGGGTTTCCTGAGGCTTGCCACCTTGACTGAAACAAAGACCACCTCGATTAGGCCTAACATGCTAAACGGAATACGCTTTTATAAAATAAAACATTAACCTTCAAGGCAGAGCAGTTGCCCTTGTTTTTTTTTTTTTTTTTTTGTGTGCTCCAACTAATTATAATTTCAGTTTGTTACAGAAAAATCTGCAGATTAATCATGTGGTCTATAAAACAGTGAAAGACGCCCATCACAGTTTCTTAGAGCACAGTGACATCTTCAAATGTCTTGTTTTGTCTCACCACCAGTCCAAAATCCAAATATTTATTCAATTTACTAGAATGCATGGTGATGGAAAAAGGATTTTCTGACATTCGAGATGCTGGAACCAACAAATGTTTGACATGTTTGCTTGAAAAATTACTTAAACGATTAACCCGTTATTAAAATAGTTTCTTATTTAATGTTCTGTTGATTGACTTATCAATTGAGTAATCGATGCTGCTCTAAAATCAGGCAAACACAGTTGAGGCAGTATTTCTTACAGCAGATATCATTTAATAGTTGTTTATGCATTTATCTACTTTATAAATTGATCATGAAACCCGGGTGCTCTACTAGAATCCAGAATACTTTGATCCCTGAAGGGAAATTCTTGTGTTAAGTTGCTCACTTTGCACATCAAGGCATTCAAGGAATAGAAATAAGTAAGGTAGGTGTGTGTGTGTGTGTGTGTGTGTGTGTGTGTGTGTATATATAAATATTTTAGTGCAGCTGAGGACGGTGACCACAGACCACTTCTCAGTTCCTATGCTTCCTGGCTGATGTTTTGATCACTTTTGAATGCTGGCGGTGCTTTCACTCTAGTGGTAGCATGAGACGGAGTCTACAACCCACACAAGTGGCTCAGGTAGTGCAGCTCATCCAGGATGGCACATCAGTGCGAGCTGTGGTAAGAAGGTTTGCTGTGTCTGTCAGCGTAGTGTCTAGAGCATGGAGGCGCCACCAGGAGACAGGCCAGTACATCAGGAGACGTGGAGGAGGCCGTAGGAGGGCAACAACCCAGCAGCAGGACCGTTACCTCCGCCTTTGTGCAAGGAGGAGCAGGAGGAGCACTGCCAGAGCCCTGCAAAATGTGCATGTGTCTGCTCAAATGGTCAGAAACAGACTCCATGAGGGTGATATGAGGGCCCGACGTCCACAGGTGGGGGTTTTGCTTACAGCCCAACACCGTGCAGGATGTTTGGCATTTGCCAGAGAACACCAAGACTAGCAAATTTGCCACTGGCGCCCTGTGCTCTTGACAGATGAAAGCAGGTTCACACTGAGCACATGTGACAGACGTGACAGAGTCTGGAGACGCCGTGGAGAACGTTCTGCTGCCTGCAACATCCTCCAGCGTGACCGGTTTGGCGGTGGATCAGTAATGGTGTGGGGTGGCATTTCTTTGGGGGGCCGCACAGCCCTCCATGTGCTCGCCAGAGGTAGCCTGACTGCCATTAGGTACCAATGAGATCCTCAGACCCCTTGTGAGACCACATGGTGGTGCGGTTGGCCCTGGGTTCCTCCTAATGCAACACAATGCTAGACCTCATGTGGCTGGAGTGTGTCAGCAGTTCCTGCAAGAGGAAGGCATTGATGCTATGGACCGGCCCGCCGGTTCCCCAGACCTGAATCCAATTGAGCACATCTGGGACATCATGTCTCGCTCCATCCACCAACGCCACGTTGCACCACAGACTGTCCAGGAGTTGGCGGATGCTTTAGTCCAGGTCTGGGAGGAAATCCCTCAGGAGACCATCCGCCACCTCATCGGGAGCATGCCAAGGAGTTGTAGGGAGGTCATACAGGCATGTGGAGGCCACACACACTACTGAGCCTCATTTTGACTTGTTTTAAGGACATTACATCAAAGTAGGATCGGCCTGTAGTGTGGTTTTCCACTTTGATTTTGAGTGTGACTCCAAATCCAGACCTCCATGCGTTGATAAATTTGATTTCCATTGATAATTTTTGTGTGATTTTGTTGTCAGCACATTCAACTATGTAAAGAAAGGAGTATTTAATGAGATTATTTCATTCATTCAGATCTAGGATGTGTTCTTTTAGTGTTCCCTTTATTTTTTTGAGCAGTGTATATTGTTTTGCTTGGATAAATTTGATTGAATTGATTATGACTAACATATATCCAACTGAAAAAAATCCCACTCCCTCCCTTCAGGCCTCGAGCCAAAGCCACTCCCCCAAATCACAAATTGTCATGCGCAATGTATTACAATCCTGCGACAGCCAAAGATACCGTCTTTTAATTTTTGTGTCAGAACATTTGATATATTGATTGCTGTTGGGATGTAAAGAGAATTTCAACAAACGTAACAAAAATGCTTCTGAAAGAAATTGCATACCCCAGCTTTAAGTGCTGATTGCTCTGAGCTGTGTCTGCAGTCAGTTGCTTAACATGGGCTGGGGAGTGATGTTTGCCCAGTCATGGTTTGTATGTAGTTGGCATCCTTCCCAGCAGCAGCCTATCTCTGAGAGTAGACACTGGACAGAGAGCAGACAAAGCAGCAGTGTGACACACCAGCTCTCATGTTCTAGCCTAATTGATTTACATGTGGTGAAACGAAGCCTTTGCTCTGATGCTGTGTTTGAAGGGGCGTTCTGTGTTTCATCCTTTTTGTATGGAAAACACCGCCCTATGCGCAGTAGAAACCTCACTGCCTATCCACATTCATCAACACCTTGTGACTGCAAATGAGTCAGTGTTGCTATTTAGTTATTCTGGTTTTGTGCTGATGTCAAAATGTTGCATTGTTGTTGATGCACCTGCCACTTATGTTTGTGTTCGTGTCCATGAAGCATACGTTTATTTTTTTAGCTAGCAGCTTTCAGTTGAAGCTCAAGGGAAGAGGTTTTTATGGCATTTGCTGCCGGCATCAGATAATGGTAAACATGTTTGGAGCTTGGCACCCTTTTGCAAGTTGAACTTCTTTAATTTTCAGTGACTGATGGGCTCAAGGCTAAAACCAGTCTGCGCTCTCTGAATAGCAGGGCAACCACCCACTGGAAGCAATGAG